TTTATAATTTTTTTGTTTTTTTTTTTTGTTTTTTTTTAAACACTTTTTTTTTTTTTTTTTTTTTTTTTTTTTTTTTTTTTTTTTTTTTTGAGCTTTAAAGAGCTTAACCCTTGGGTTTTCTGGGGAGGAGAAGGGGATTTTCTTTTTTATGGCCAGTTTGTTAACTTAGAGATTAAATGTATTTAGACTTGTGTTATGCATTTATTTAAGCCAGCTTTTGCCTCTTATTAATAAGCTATATTATGAATTTACCACAGTTTATCAAGTTAACGTGTGTTAGGAGAACAGGCAACACTCATGTGATGTCAAAGCTGAGCTAACGCAGCTGGACTTAGTCCCTGATGAAACGTTATTGGGAGTGTAGGTGGTCATGGGGGAGGTCTTCCCTGGGCACTTGTTACTGCACTTTGAACCACTAATTAAGCTGTGGTAACAGGACTGCAGGCTAGAGCAGTTTCTGCTTGATGAGGACTCAAGAAGACGTTGAGCCAGTTATCTGGCAGTGTTTGCTGTGATAAAGGAGAAGTCAGTTGACCAACACTAACTCATAAAGTTGTCACCCCGTTCCTGAAATTTTAGAAGTCATGGTCAAGCCTCTAGGTTACATCTGAGAATTGCAGGTTGTTTAAGGGGTCTCTTAATTCTTAGACCTTCCCACTTCCGTAACAAACGAAATAACTAACTGGAATGTGCTCTCTGACTTTGCTGAGGCTGCCATGCCTCATTCTAACCTTTCCAGTTGTCTCTCTAACCTCTTCAACGTGCCTGGATGACTTCCCCCCCACCTAGTTGCATGACACAGTCGTCTTTCACGGGTGATCAACAGCACCCTTTGGGTTCAAAAAGGTGATGAAATTTAAAAATAAGTTTGTCAACAAATGGAGCCTTCCTTAGGCACGACGGTTTCTGTTATCAAGTTATACTGCTTGGAACAACTTGCCAGAAATGTGTTTGGCTTTGTCAACTGGCAGCAGAATATGGGTGTAGGGCTGTTGAAAGGAAATTGAGTAGTTGCATTCCT